AGTTAATATATACTGTACCTGAATGAATGATAATGAACAAACAAACGAATGACTGAATGTTGTAAACATTGACAAATAAATACCTTGTATCTTTTACTGAATGAATGAAAGAATGAGTGAGTGAATGAGTGGGAAAGTGAGTTAGTGAATGAATAAATGAATGAATGATGAATGAATGAATTAATTAATTAATGGTCAATGAATGAATGAATGAATTAATGGGCAATGAATTAATTAATTAACGGATATATGGATGGATGGATGGCTGGAATGATTGTTGGCTGTGTGGATGGGATACTGGATGTATATATGAATAAATACGAATGAATGAAGCTGAAGTGAACCATGTACATATTGACGAATAAAATCAATTGTTGCATATAGAAATGCGAGGTGTCATGACAAAATGAGTCTTGTGTTACGCCAGGCCAATTTTATATACTAAAGAAAATATCTGAAGCGACATTTTGACAAAATTGGGTTTCAATGTTTTTGCTAAGTTTAAAGTATATTACAGATTTGAGTTTAATTAGCTACAGTAAAGGAGGATTTGAGCAGTGGCGTAACAGACGGGGGGAACCAAGCCGTAGTACCGGGCTGGGTAAGAAGAGAAAAGAAAGAGGAGAGAGGGAGGGAAAAGAGAAAGAAAGGGAAAGAAAAGGAAAGAAAAGAGAAGACAAAAATAAAGACAAAAATAAAAAGGAAGATATAAAGAACATATATCACAATACCCGGCAACCCCTTCTCCACTTCAAAAAGTGTCCATATCGCATTTGATCTAAGCCGCCAGATATTCTCCGCAGTGGCGTAACCACCGTTGGACAAGGGGAAAATATCCATCTATGGAAAATCTTTCCCCATTGAAGATGCCCTTATCACCCCGGAAAGTACATGAAACTCTCAAATTTGGTTTTTTGTTGGGGTAGGCCAATTTCCTCTAAAATGTGCACATTTTAGGGAGTTTTGCTCAATTTCGACGAAATTGGAATTAAAAACACAAAATTCTTTCACGAGCTTCGCGCGCATTTTTAAAGGGTACCGTAACGCTTGTGCTTGCCCTCCTTTGCCTTCTAAGTTATTTAAACACATAATAGTTCCAAACTCAAGAGAGAAAATTTAAGATAGATCATTTTACCTAAAAGAAGTGCCTCAATGTGTAATGATGGTGAAAGAATATGTTTATAATAAATAAAGGCATAATGAAAATGCTTAGGCCTATAGTCAGTTTAAAAAAAAAACGAGTGTGGCCATATATAACATAAGCGCATTTCTTGTTGAGGTAGGCCAATTTCCTTTAAAAATTGCACATTTTAGGGAGTTTTGATCAATTTCGACGAAATTAGAATTAAAAACACAAATTTTTTTGCGCGCTTCGCTCGCATTTGTTAAGGTTAGTGCTTCTGCTTGCCCTCCTATGCCTTCTAAGTTATTTAAACACATAATAGGCCCAACTCAAATAGAAAGAACATTTATGATAGATCGTTTTTACCTAAAAGAAGGGCCTTAATGCTTATACAGTATTTAGTTTCAAACACACGTGTGTGGCCTATACTATAAATAAGATAAGCCCTATGTCGTATTGTTTTCTATATGGTGGGGGTGGGGATGGTGGGGTATCACACCGGGTCATAAATTATTAACCGGGAAAATTTTTACCTTTGCCCCCCCCCCCCCACCCCTGACCCAAGACCCCTGTTACGCGCCTGTTTATAGAGCATACATTGTGTAATACCTGTCTCTTATACACATCTTTACAGTACTGTTACAATATATCATCTTTCTAAATAATTATATCAATAACTCATTTTTAAATTTTTGTACCACAAGATGAATGAATGACGGAATGAATGAAATAATTAATTAATAATAAATGAATTAATTAATGAATGAATGAACAAACAAACGAACGAACGAACGAATGTGGATGGATGGACGGATGTATGGATGGATGGATGAATCAATCAATCAGTCAATCAATCAATCATTAATTAAATGCACGAACGAACGGACGAATGAATGAAAACACGCACGAACGAACACGTAAAGACACTGACTAATTACCTCAGTGACTCTGGCTGGTGATACGCCACAAGCATCCTGATTCTCGTTCCCTGCTGCAACCACCACAACAAAGTCTGCTCGAATCAAGTTCTGTACAGCTTCGTCTATCACGACAGACGGAGGCCCGCCGAGTGACATTGATACAACATTACCTTTTTCCCCAGGTCCATTAGTCAAAATTTGATTGATTGCTGAATAAAAACATATTAATATTTGTGTTTTTATAGGCTTATTTAATTCTATGTTGAATAACCAGGACCACCCTTATTCACAAAGTAATGGGTTTTTTTCTTTAAAAATATAATCTCGATATAAATACAACAATTAGGTTTTATGATATTTGACTGAATCTCCCATTCCAGTTGTCATTGGACGTAATGTATTGTACATTGTATTTACATTGAACATTATTGTTACTAGTTACTTGGAAGTCTTTCATAAGAATGCAATCATGCCTCCAACTGAATCTCCCTTGGTGCAAAGTAAGACATGAAAATAAAAATAAAAATGATCAGAAATCAAAACTAACCATCAACTATGTCTGACGAGGTAGCTCCATTTTCACATCCAAACACACGTACACTTCGTATATTAACTTTATTGGCGACTCCATAGATTTCTGCAGCAACCGTGCCGGCAACGTGTGTGCCGTGGCCAAGACAATCCTCTGACTACAAAGAACAAAATAAAATTAAATGTTTTAATAGCATTCAACATTGAACTATTGCCCCAGTGTTGAGCCTTGAACAATGAAGCACTGATTTTATAAGTTGAGCGTTCTCAGCGCATTAAGCTTACTGGTGCCCGAGTTAAATTAGCCATGGAGGAAACTATAATTCCTTCATGAATTCACCAAGAATTAACCAAGGACCTTATCTGTACAAATAAGAGTCATTGAATTAACTTCTGCCTTCATTTGCATAGGCCTAATATAAAATACATTGATTGATTTGAAATACATTGATTTGAATTTAAGCAATTTTAGGCTTCTGCATAACTGACACAAATATTGGAATTTTTAGTGAAGGCCTATCACTATCATAAAGTGTAGAAATTAAATGCTGGTTGAGGCCACTACGATCTCTATATTTAACATGATTTTAACCCAATCTGTTTTGATAGAGTAGCACCTTAATCAACCCACATTATACTAAATTATAGGCTGGCTTTCTTATTTCTTATACACAGCCATAATGGTAGGAATAACAGCCAACCTAAGACCTGACCAGAGTAATACTGTCAATGTTATTGTTATTTATCATAACCGTTATTGTTATTGGCGTTACAGTTATTGATATCGATATATTATCATTTTATTATCATTAAATCGTTATAATTATCATTACCATTGACATTACCATCATAATTACCATTATTATTATCATCATTATCATTCACCGTAAACAGTAAAAAGACAGGAAGCACTTTTCAAGACTAACAAATATTTTATTCTAAGCAAGTAGAGAGTATGATGTTATGGTCACATAGAATATTACGTCATAATAATGGGTCAAAATATTACGTCAAAATAAATGGGTAAAAAAGGATGATTATTAAGTCAGGTTAGGGGATTATCGATGACAGTTTGGCGACTGTAAATTTAGTGAATAGTTTGAATTGCCCGGCTGAGTGTAATTTGGTGATGTATTGTGGAAAGGATATTTCTATTGGCTCATGTAAAAAATTGTTTCTATTGGTTCATGTAAAGAACGATTTCTATTGGTTAAGATGTATCATTAAATTAAAAATGGCGACTCGATGGTTTTAACAGGTTTGAATAACCCGCTTCTGACACTATGTTTTACGAATACCTATTTATTTTTATACCTATTTTATTTTAACGAAACATGACAAACCTAACACTTCGCGATACTCATCACCACTTAATTAATCCCACCTTTTGTTTTTAAGTATTTCAATAAACCCTCAAATACCGCCCTTCATATGCTTCAACCCATTATGAGGTAAATAAAATAAATAAAATTATGAATAAATAATTATGAACTATGATGATGTAATATTTTATTGTGACCATATCATCATACTCTCTACTAAGCACGCTTTTCTTTACGTGGTGTGAACTTCATAAACTGGCTGTGATGTGATTCACTGATTGCATGAAAGCTTGCGTTTAATACAATATTCGTTAGTCTTAAAATTTCTGTATGCCATTTGACTGTAAAGTTCAGACTAACATGGCTACCACACTAGTTCATTACATTATCATAATTAAATCCATCTTACATCATGTTCGCCTGTTGTAGCGTCGTACCAGTTCACTGCTCTACCACCAAATTCCTCATGATGAGTATTGACGCCAGTATCAATGACGTATACAAACACACCTTCCCCATTACCTTAACAAAAATCATAAAGAATTTTAAAAGAATATGCCTAATACTAATCACATCGTGATATCAAAGAAACACAAATGATTTAAACGCAAATTATTGATTCTGTGTAATTCCATACCCTGACAACCCAAGTTAAAAAAAACCCCACAACAATAGGCACATAAACTTTTCTATCTTCCACAAACAAGTAGACTTGGATCCAAGTGAAAAAATTACTAGGACAATTTACTGAAAAGTTAAACCTATTGTTCCTATAGCATTGGATGTGAATGCAATAGTATTTCTTCTTCCATGGATAGCTCTTCCTAGTTACCAGAAAATAATCATACGACAAGTGGGTGGAAACAAACGTAGCGATGTGAAGATTATTTGTATGAGTTGAAGATTGAAAACATTGTGGAGGCGTGCAATGGGACAAAACAAATGGAACAAAACATGCATGGACGGATGGAACTAAATATCCAATGTCATGTGAAACTCATCAGCACTATCTTACCGAAGTAAACAAATACGGTAAATTTCAATTATTCTTCTCACTCATAAATTCTTATATGGACACGCTCCATATTATGTTTCTTCATCCACCTTACAACAATTATCTTTACGCTGCACAAGACAGTCAAACTCTTTAAGGTTATATGTTTCCAGAATACTACATTTTTTTCCGCTCCATTATGGAACTCCCTTCCGTCTAAACTTCGATTGATTTCTAATACTGAAATTCTTAATTATATCTTGAAGCGCCAGTGACAAAATAATATTTGTCTAACAGGCGCTATGCAAACTCTCCAATTTATTTATTATTTATACGAAATCCACCAATTGACAAAGATCTATCTAGGTGTGTTATAATTATAGGCTATACACCTACTTACCCAATTGTAAATATGAGTTATCAAGCGGAAGGTTTCGCTGATCAATGCGATCTAAGCCCCAAGTGGATTCAGACGTCTTGAACATGACTTCTTTTTCAACGTACTTCACACCGTTCATTTGACGAATCTAAAAAAAAAAAAAAAAAAAAAACACGAGAGAGGAATTTAAATTTATGTGTATATGAATTATTCTAAAATGACAAATGAATTAGGTGTTTTTAACGAAACTAATAGATTAAAAAGTATTTTATTTCAAACATTTAAATTATTTTGCCTCTCTGGTACAGTACTCAACCTTTTGCGGACTGAGATCCATTTTCCAGTGGCCCAGAATGCGATCCGGACTAGGATAGGGTAGGATGAGGAGTGTTTGTTGGTGCATAGAGAAAATAGAACTGTTCTATTTTCTCTATGGTTGGTGAGTCACACACGGATAACCCAATAAGTCAGAATAAGTGATTGGAAACAGCTAATACGATACAAATTTGGAAATACTTTTATTATTAGAAAACCTGGGGGAAAAGTAGTATTGCAAAAGCCTACAATAGAACCAAGTTTGCAGTAATTAGTCTTAGATAAAACAGAATTCAGTATTTTATGAATGTGCGTTAAAAACTTGTGGAAACAACGAAGCACTTATGATTTTAATGTATATGTAAATTTCATTTGGACAGAACATGAGAAATGGTAGTAAATAGTAAAAGATATCAAAGGTATTGGGTCTTACCCTGTTTAACTCTTCGTCATTAAGATCACAAACGACTGCCTTTATTCCATTTGAGGGCCCTTTGAGCATTCTGTTTTGCAAACCTCGCCTGTTGTCAGATCTCATGTTCAGCACTTGTGTCACAATTGTTTCGGTGTTCTCATCGTTCTGTCGAGAGAGAGAGAGAAAAAAAGTGAAATGTGCGCATAACATCAAGCCATACTTGCGTACCTAAATTAATTTTGTCATTCATTATTCATAGAATACAATATTTATGCCGTATGTATACATTTTCTCACATCGATTTAGAACTTGCATTCTTTTAATTAAAAAACCTCTATATTAATATGAATTTATAACTCACGTTAATGATAATGACATAATTTTGGTTTCCATCCAAACTGCCACGGTAAAGTGGGGCCATTCCAGGGCTGTTGTCAGACGCGATACTCGTGCAATCAGGGGGACTTGGGGTAGGGGTATTCGGGATAGGGGTATTCGAGGTAGGGGTATTCGGGGTAGGACGTGGTCGAGGGCGCGGACGCCCGGGCCGACCTCTAGGCGGCAGACTAGGACGTGGCCGGTTGCGTCTCCTCGTTGGCAATGAATTCGCTTGGTTAGGCATTGTGAATATTAACACAGCTCCAACTAGACCGATAACTACCAACAACTTCATAGTAATATGTTCCTTGCATAGACCGACTAAGTGAATCAAACTATGTGGATTGATTTATATCAGGTCAGAGTTGCTCTCAACTAATCAGAAGCCTGCATTTGACATCACGTGACCTTAATTTACATAAAATGATTATTCCATTTATGAGTAGGGGTGTTTAAACGATTATTCCATTTTTAGTACAGTGGTGTTTAACCCTAACCCTATTCTATTTTTAGTACAGGGATGTTTTAACCCTAACCCTATTCCATTTTTAGTACAGGGGTGTTTAACCCTAACCCTATTCCATTTTTTTTATAGCATGGTGTTTAACCCTATTTCATTGTTAGAGCAGAGTACTTAACCCCAACTATATTATATTTTTAGTGTAGGGGTTTTTAACCCTAACCCTATTTCATTGTGTACAACAGTATTTTACCCAACCCTATTAAATTTTTAGAACAGGTGAGTTTAACCCTAATTATTTCAAACATGACTACATGTGTCAAGCCACCCCTGTCGAAAGCCACCCAACGATGGATTATACCATTGTTAGGTGGGGTGCACAATGGGGTGTTTTTTTTATGTTGGTCTACAATAGGTTTTGGCTGTAGTGCTAGGAGTTTTTTGTGTCAGACCTCTTGTATGTATTATGAATTAAAAACCTGGGTGTAGCCTACCTAGGCATAAACATGATTTAGTACTCCAAATGCAAACATCATCAATTCCTTTTTTTGTTTCCATTAATGAAATTAAAAGTGAAGTAATTTTCACTGCTCTCTGATACTTTTACAGTTTTTTCACTGTTTTCACTTTCTTTTATTGCAAACAACACACAGATTAAAGTATCACAACATGTTTAAGGAATTACAACATTTTATTCATTCTTTTGCTTTCTTCTTTTCTTTACAAAGAACATAGATACAGTATTAAATATCACAACATAGGCCTATTTGATTACAAAAAATAAGTAACATTTTTTTGTAATTTCAAAATCAACTACAATATTATTTTCTTTTTCTTTATCACAAATGACATTACAGTAATTAGCTATGTACAATAGGCCTACTATAAAGGTATAATTTTCTCACTTTCTTTTTTTCCAAACAACATAAGATTAAATTACCACAACATGTTTAAGGAATTTTGTCCTTTCCGTATCACAAAATGACATTATCTATGAATTTATTGTCTATACGCAGGCTATACGCATGTACAATACTATAAAGTTACATTTACTTAACTGTCACTGTATACAGTACATAACAATTTAAAAACTTTCGAAATTTCAACTTAAATCTTATGAACTATTATATAAAAATTAGTCAAAACATAAGATAAAATTATTATTATTTATATATATTCTCATATATACATAGTCAGAATATACAAATTTAAAATAGTTTTAGGCTACATAAACTTTCACAAATTTTATTAAGTTACAGCATTACCTTCCCTACTAATATTTTGCTTATAAATCCTAAAATAGAATGTACAATAGGCCTACTTAAAAACATTTTTATTGGAAGTTTTTTTATCAAATCATATTTTACAATATTTTTGTATTACATTCTCCTATCTAAAGAAATAAATTCAAGAAGGTTTTTATTGGCCAAACATAGTTGTTGCAATAATAATAATAATAAACAGGCCTAGATGTGTGTCATTTGATAAAGAAAGGGAAATAATATGTTATTTAAAAAAAGTAAAAATTATTATTATTATTATTAAAGGGAAGTATTTAATTGAAAGTGATTTTTAATGTAAGTCATTTTAAAAATTAAAATAAATTTAGAAAACTAAAAAAAATTAAACTTTAAGCACAGTGATTACTAAGATCTACAATGATTACTAACCAACATGCATGTTGTCAGAAGAAATGAATGAATTAAAGGCGTATAATAGGAGTGTACAATAGCAAATTAAGTCCTATTGTAAAGCTAGATAAAAGCAAGACCACCCAACATTGTTCACCCTGTTGCCCACCCACTTTAACAATGGTATATTCCAATTGGGTGGTTTATGTCCTGGGTGGTTTATGTTATTATGTTATTATGAACATTAACATACTGTAGTAGTTACCTGCTATGTTCTGTTACTTTTGATATGTTAAAGAATAATGAAACGTGAAATTTTTTTTGTTCCACATTTTTTTTCCACCCAGGACATAAACCACCCAGGACATAAACCACCCAATTGGAATATACCATTGTTAAAGTGGGTGGGCAACAGGGTGAACAATGTTGGGTGGTCTTGCTTTTATGTCCGTATCCCGTTTCTCCCTAAATAAATACTGTAATAAATAAATATATATTTGTCATTTGTAACAAAGAAGAAAGGAAAATAATATTTATTTATTTATCGTTTGTAATAAAATAAGAAAAGTGAGAAAGATGAAATGACACTGAAAAAAAGAGTAAATGAAATGTTGACTGTAAAAAAAATATTTTCTAGAAACCACTCAATTGCATAATTAAGAGAAGCTATCCAGTTTTGCATTTGGAGTACTAAATGTTTATGCCTAGGTAGGATACACCCAGTTTGTAATTCATAATACTATACAAAAGAATAAAAGAGGTCTGACAAAAAAACTCCTAGCACTACAGCCAAAACCTATTGTAGACTAACATCAAGACAAACACCCCATTGTGCACCTACCTTACAATGTAATTCATTGTTGGGTGGCTTTCGACAGGGGTGGCTTTCTTCCGATTTCCAAATAACCTAACCCTAGCTAAATTCAAAACTCCTGTATTATGTTCTGAATAAAATCGATTAAATGCAGTAGGTATAGACAAGTCTTTGGAACAAAAGAGGACCATCTATTGTGTAATCAGTTTCCTTGTCATAATTGTCTTATAGGATAAGCCAAACAGTGACGTCATGTTCAACGAGGCTGAACTTGCTGTTTTGTAAAAACGCTGTCGGTTGTTACATTTTATAGATTTCTTTATTAAAAACTATTATTGGAATTTAGGAATAATGTTTTATAGTAAAGGCTGTCCTCATGTGCTAGTTTGGCAGAGCTATATGCTGCTTCTTTTTCTGCATTTTAGTTGGTTGTGTGATATTTTATTCTTTCAATAGTTGATTTTGCTGAGATGAAGGTTCTTCTGCTTTTTAGTCGTTTGCGGGCTATTTTTTGTATATGACAAAGTTTCGCTGTATGATATTTGGACGAGTATATTCGCTAGTATTGGGTGCTGAATAAATTCAATCAACTGTAGTGGGTCAGTCGACAAGTCTTTGTAGTAGTGTTTTAGGGGAAGAAAGGGCCATCTATTGTGAAGTTGTTGTTTTTACCAGAGACATGTGCTTTACATTCTTTATTTTTTTGTAGGTCTTTTTTTAGATTTCTTTATTAAAACCTACATTGGAATTAAATAATATTGTTTGATATGTAGTCATCATTGACTTCAAACTTAAGGTAAACATTGTAGAGCGGTGATGGTTGTTCCTCTGGTTTTTAGCTGGTCATTGGCCATTAATTAATTCAGTTTACGGTATTATTTTTTTTGTATGCTATAAATGACACAGTTTTGCTGTACATACTCGGACAGTAGCGCTGGTATTGCGTGCTGAATAAAATCATGTATAAAATCGAACAAATGCAACAGGCTTAGATCTTTTTGTTAATCTTTTGAAACAATAGAGGACTAGCTATTGTGTAGCTTTTTAGTTTTTATTTGGAATCACTTTTATTACAGTGGCACACATTCAAAATGATGGTGCATCCAAAAGACCAAAATCAACTACGAAAATCATTAGGGAACAAATGGTTCGGTAAATAATAATAATAATAGTAGTAGTAATAATAGTAATAGTAGTAATAATAATAATAATAATAATAATAATAATAATAATATTGATAATAATAATAAAGATAAAAAATTAAAATAAAAAAAAAGCAACTTAAAAATATTGGTGGTGCTTAGGTATTAATATTCTTATAGATATCAGTTTCCGTTTGTCATAATTGTATTATCATAGTGACGTCCTGTTGCACGTGTCTGAACTTACGATACTATGTTGTAAAAACGCAAGCGGTTGTTGAATTTTTAGACCCTATTTTGGAATTATAATAGCCTGTCGTCACCACTGGCTTCAAAGTGAAGGTAAACAGAGCTGTGACAATGGTTCCTTTACTTTTTAGTCGATGGGCCATTTATTTTGTTTATTTTTTTGCATAGGCCTAATATAAATGACTAAGTTCCACTGTAGGATATTGGACGAGTACATATTTTCGGTGGTATTGTGTGCTGAATAAAACGTATTTTGTTCAAGTGTACCAAATTAAAAATTGTCTAACCCCTAACTAAATTCATAAACCTCACTTTGACTATTTCCTAACTATGATGTACTAGTATAATTGGCCTATTATTTTCTGAATAAAATCAATCAACTGCAATTAGGCCTATAGGTCTACACATGTCTTCGTATTATTCGTTTGGAAACGCAAAAGAGGGCCAGTTGTGTGGTGAAAAAAGATAATTCAGGAAAGTGACGGCATGTTGAACGTGTCTGAACTAGTATGAGGAAAACCCATAAAACAGCAAATAATTTATCAACAATATTCTTCAGATTTTTTCTGAATACTCTAATCTTCAATGTAGGCCTAAGCAAAATGATGTAGTGCATTATGTTGTCACCTTTTTATATTTACTGGGCCCCGGAACAATCGGCCTCGAGTTAATTCATTCAAATACATTTTCAAACGTTCAAGTATATGTGACCCACATGGGTATAATGTATTGTTGTCACTACTTTATTATACATTTCAATAGGATAATCTCGAATTAATAAACACTCGATGCATGACATGACAAATCACACAATACGTATGCTCACATTTATCACGATCCTGGTAATACCGTTACTGATTGATTATTAAGGCCCTTTAATTACATCTCAATTTATTTAATGTAGACAAATCACGAGCAGTTTATCTAGGTACGTACTTATTTTGGTCTTTGGTTCAGCAGGCTAATAGAAGGAAAAGGTTGAAATTCCCTTCCCTGCCCCCCCCCTCCCCCGGTGCTACAATCACTTTTTACATGTCATTAAAATTTTTCTTGCGTTCTAACTTTGTCCATGGCAAACTGTGCGAAGGTCTGGATTTGTGCCTGGTTATATTACTTTCTTTATTGCAATTATGATACAAAATTTAAGTTGAACAATAATCAATCAATAAAAATCAACACAATGAAACACAGAAAAAAATTTACCAATTTTTATTTACATATCGAACAAAAAAAAAATCGTTTACACATATTTTAATACAAAAATCCTTCAAACTACTGACAGAAATTACTAAGTGTAGGCTTATGTAAAGAATATAAAAACATTACTGTTTAAAGTGAAGGAAATTGTCATTTGAAAGCTAGCTAAAAAGTATATAAAATTGAAATTATTAATGAAATAATACATATGGTAGCAGTAGGTCTATATTTTTAAAACCAAATTTTTAATAATAAAAATACATCATAAAAAAATATTACAATACACAAACTGCATACCAATCATAAACAATCACTGATCTAAACAAGTGCTTTCATCGGAATGCGGGCATGTAAATAATAGGCGGTTGCTGGACTCTTTTGGGTCTTCAACAACATTTTTAGTTGAAAGTTGAAATATCTTCTGACGGACTTCGCT